GGTAAAATCACTTGTTCAAATCCGACTTCTGTTTCTCCTATTGCCTCCCAAGCTTTGGAGCAAAGTGACATGGATCAACTAAGCCAGAAGGATTTGTGATCTAGTTGGCTGCTGTCAGAGTACCTGGATATTTTTTGACGCCTCTCATGGAGTCATAGACACTTGAGACTTTGAACTTGACCCACTGTTATCTTATGGCCTCTTAGGAGGTTTATGTATACATAATGTTCAGGAACTTTAGTGTTGATAGTGATAAGATATTCTTCACGCCACTTGAGTAGTGATAATCACCCTACAGCTCACTGCAGGGCTCATTACTAAGTGTCTGCGCTAATTTTGGTTCCTCATGCTCATGGACTCATTTCACTTTTTAGTATTTATAATCCCCACTTACAAATAGGCAATGTGAGCGAAGTATGTACATGATCTGGTGAGGAATACACACCTAGCAAGTGATCGTGTAGGATTTGGGCTGATTCTTGGGCCCCAGAATACACACTTCTGGCCGCAATGTTGAGTTGCTTCCTCATGACACTTTCCTTCATTCCCTATGATATTGTGGCTTCTGACAGAAAATATATATAGCATTCGATCTTCATCTCATTCCTAGCACAAAGTTCCTAAAATCCTTGGAATTTGGTGTGTCATGTTATTTTTTTAAAGATTTGTTTATTTATGCATACAAGAGCTGGAGTGCAGGCCAGAGATGTGAGGATGAGAGGATTCACCAGAGACAGAGTGGGGAGCACAACGGGCAGATCAATGAAGTACACTGCTGAGGGGAGCAGCGGAAAGGACAAGAGAGGTCTGCTGCACTATGTGGGTCAGCTCCCTGGCCAGGGATCGAACTCATGCTACAATGATAGTGCTAAGCTTAATCCCTAAGCCACCAGACTTCTCTTGTCACCCACTGCTCCCCTCAGCAGTGTACTTCATCAATCTGCCTGTTCTGCTCCCCACTCTGACTCAGGTGAATCCTCTCACCACCCTTGCACCTCTGACCTGTACCCCAGTTCACTATGCATAAATAAAAACTTCTCCTGTCTCACCCACTGCTCCCCTCAACAGTGTACTTCATCAATCTGCCTGTTCTGTGCCCCACTCTGTTTCAGGTGAATCCTCTCACCACCCCTGCACCTCTGACCTGTACCCCAGTTCTCTATGCATAAATACATCAATCTTTCTTAAAAAAAAAAAAAGAAAGAAAAGAAAGAAAGAAAAGAAAAGAAAAAGAGAGAGAAACAAAAGAAGGGGGAATGAAGAAATAAATAACTCAGGGAGAAAAAGAGGGAAAGTGAAATGGTGAATGAGTCCTACCAGTTCCACTAACCTGGCATCCCAATGGCACGACGAGAGCCAAGAGGCAAGAGGCCATGCGACCCTACACCCACATATCTCGTTTCACACCCAACCTGGCTGCTTAACTCCACGGTCAGGTCCCAGAGTCCTCCCTTAGGTGATGACGGGACTTGTAGTTCCTGAGTCTTCATCTCTTGGGCCTGGGGTGGGGGTGGGGTCCACAAAGCCTGTGTCACTAGGGTTGTTCAGGACACCCTTCCCCCTAACAAGCTGAATTGTAGGATGCCCAGCCGGTGTCAGAGAACTGCTCAGTTTGGGCAAAACCCCACATACTTGGTGACCAGAAATGTCAGGAATGAAGTGTTTTTTGTTAGTAGCGTAAAGTTAACAGGAAGAGTAGTGGGGAGCTTTCCTGTAAATTCCCCAAATCTGATCACCATACTCAACTGTTTATTTGCTATTCTCTTTTTCCAATTTCATTGACAAGTAATATCACATGAGTGTCTAGATTTAAGACTTACAGTATAGTGATCTGATTTATATATAGTGAAGTGATGACCATAATATGTTCAGCTAACACCCACTTTCCCATCTATATGAAAGCAACAAGAAAACAAAAAAGAAAAAAAATTCTCCTGGAGGTAAGAAAAGTGAAGTCTCTGGATTGTCTTTCTTCACGGGTTTCCGATGCACCATAAAGCAGTTTTAACTGTCGTCAGCTTGTTTTGTGCTAAGCAACCTGGGTCATGGTTAATCAGGAGGAAGCACTGACAGATTCAGAGACAAATGGAAAAGTCACTGTCCTCGAGAGACTGACCTAGGGTCCTCCCTCATGGCCTAGGAATAAGTCTCAGCATTAACGCTGTTGAGGCCTGAGTTCGATCCCCGGCCAGGGAGGTGACCCGCATATGGTGCAAAGACCCCTTCTGTCTCACCCAGTACTCCCCACTGTCTCTGGTGGATCCTCTCAACCCCCACACCTCTGGCCAACACCTGACATCTTCTATGTTAAAAAATATATAGAGATTTGTAAGAGATAGGCATACAAACACTGCATCTGAAACCACAAAGGGGAGCCTCCAGGAAGAGGTGAGCCACGGGGTAGGACACGAATGTGGAGAACACACCTGGAGGCTGTGCAGGGTCTCCGGGAAGATGGGACTAGGAGGGTGTTTGGGGGGCAAATGGAAAGATCTTGAATTCAAGATTTCAAAGTGAGAAATTTCCTTTGTAGATAGATGGTTTTGCACTGAGGGGTGATGCAGTCAGAACCCCGTCCAGGACAATTGCTCTGGCTAGATGTTGAGTTGGAGGGGGAAAATAGATCAAAAGCAGGAAGATGGTGAGATGTTTGAAATCAGTGTTTTACAATAACTGGTAAAAAGGTGTGGAAACCAATTCAGGAAACCTCATCTAAAACCAGGGCTGGCAAGGCCTGCAGAGAGAGCTCTCACCGCCCGCACAGCCACCCTGCCTGAACTCCACAGAAGAAGCCACCCCTGCACCTCCAAAGGGAGCCCGCTACTGCCCAGGAAGCCTTGTCCTGCCCAGGCACAAATCCACCAATGGGAAGCGCCGAAGCCTGGCCAATGAGAAGTTGCCACCTCCCTGGACTCTCGCTCTCCTGCAGTGACCTTCACCCAGAGCTGCCCTCCAAAACCCACTTTTCTTCTAGCAATGCTCCTTTCCTTTGCTTCTCTGGACTTGCCAATGGTCCCACCATACCCTGCATCTCCCAAATATGTGTGCTGTTCTTAAATAAGTCAATTTTGTGGGCAAAATAACCAGCTGTTTTCCTTTATGTAAACAAAGGGTCAAACCCACAATTTAACGATTCTGCCTTGGACTGCATTCCTCATTCAAACATAGCCCCATGGACTTAAAAATATGAAAATGGACATGATTGTACAGACAAAAGTCTACTACTTTGCTTATAGATAAGGGTATTTATTGCCTTCCAAAATTTTCTGTTTTGTTTCAATTTTTCAAATGAATATTCACTATTGCTTTTATATTTTTAAAACTTTTTTTTTTAAATAAAGCATTTTCTTTTCCATGGAACTTAAAACAGCAGCATCTGATTCAACCACAGACCAGCGTGCTATGAGTGATTCTGAGGACGGACTGGTAACCTGGCAACCCAAAGGCAATGCACACTGTGTTCCCCAAGACTGGACTGAGAGATGCCCTTGGCTGGGGCCGTTGAGGGGTCAGCCTGAGGAACCGCTGTCTGCAGGACAAACTGGGAGTGGAAATATGTTGGGGCGTTTTCCCTTCCTTTCTAGGTACCTCAAGGTCATAACCCTCTCATCATCTTCTTGATCCCCTCAACCTCATAGGAACACACATGCCAAGTGTTTTGTTCTTATGTAAATACAGAAAAGCATGGCCCAAGCTGCTTCTCACTCCCTGACCATTCCTGACCTCCTCCAACCAAAAGGAATTAAAGAACACTCCGGGTCCCAAGGTCTCCTCTCTGGTTTTCATTCATTGGCACAGCCATCTGCTCACCGAAGCCACACACAGAGGGCCCACCGGATCCGGGCAAGGCCAGACCAGGGAGGCGGAGACGGCTGGGTTTTCAAAGACAGTAGAGCCCAGGACAGAGCCAGCCCAGGACCCGAGCAGCAATGTGAGCCGGAGGTGAATGTCCTCAGGGGAACTCACCCAGGCATTAGGTAAGATGCTGAGTTGGAGGGTGACCCTGGCAGGTGCTGTGAAATGTACGGTGGAGAAGAGGGGCGTGGCGAGGGGGATGCAAGGAAGCCCAGCTGGAGGATGAAGGTTCTTTCTTGTATCCAAGTGTTGGGGAGGAGCCAATACACATGGATGCATGGAGAGCAGGTCACAAACTCTCTACTCTGATAATTCTGGGACAGAATCCAGGGCTTCTCAGAACTTACAGGAGCTGATTTAGTGTAGAAGCTGATAGAGCACCCCAACTCCTGAGTCAGTCCACCAGGTGGTAAAGCCTCCCCTCTGTTTCTAGCTCTGGGACTTTGAAAAGTGATAAGCCTCAAGCCTCAGGAATATTCTCTTTGCAACACTGGCTTCGTGATAAATGTCTGCTGTGCTGCTGGCCGGACACCTGTGTCAGGGCCTGGCTGGCCGGAAGCACCCCGTGAACCCAGGGTGTGCACGACCATGAGAGACGGGGTGACTGTGGAGATGAGGAGCCACGGGGAGACAGCGAGACAAGGGGAGAATGAGCTCGGGGTGTCACTCACTCCCAGCCCCCGGGGCGCTGCGCAGAGCCCACCCTGATGTCCAGCTGCTACAGGCCAAACACTAACGCGGGGCCAAGGTGGGGAAGTCACTGCCCTGACAGACGTTGGGTAATTCTGTGCTGATGGGCACTTCTGCTTCTCTCTGGGAGGTTTGCACGGCCCTGCGGGAAGCTTGCGGCCACAGCCCCTTGCTGGCTTCCGACCCACCCTACTCAGCAAGTTCTTGTATCGGACCAGCCACACTGGCGTTCGGTAGGAAGCGGGGAAGGCAAGCAGAGCCGTGTTCATGGGAAGCTGTCTGCTTGGTCTGTTTCTCCTTTGGAAATATTTTGCGCTGTGTCAGATGCGCTCCCATGACACTCATGTGTGCTTTTCTCCTGTTGTGATACCAGTATGCAGCCTCCTGAGATACAAAACGTCAAAAGTCAGAACCAGGAACTGGGAAGACCACAGCCCAGAGCCTGCTCGATTCCTTTTCCTTTTATTTGTTTATAATACAAGTATGCAAGAATTTTCAATACTTGATTACATCACAAGCTACTTGAATCTCGGGCTTTGCATCGTTATGAAGACAGAAAGTAAACCTGGCTTGACTTCCACTGGGCTCCAGGGCCGAGGCTGGAGAGACAGCGCCGCCAGCTTCCAGTTAGATCTGAGCCACTGAAGCCAGAGTCAGCAAGAGAGAAAGGAGGAGACCTCCGCTTTGCCCTGCAGAGAGGGCCAGCAGCTGTCTCTGGGTTGAAGATGCAGCCCTGCAAATGCAAAAAAAGGTCAGAACGTGTAAGTGCCGACTTGCAAATATATGCCGGCAGGAGAAATACTTAAGTACAGAGAACTAAAAGGAAAAGGAAAAGCCCCTGTGTTTCAGGGTTCCCCCTTTCAGAGAGAACGGTCCCCAGACTGTGAGTTGTTGAATCTGTCCCGCACACACACATCATTTAGATAAGCGCGGCTGGATCTACCCCTCGTCTGCTCCCCTGAGCCATCTCGTGGATTCCCCACAGTGGTGCCAGGAGCTCGCCCACCCTTCCCTGTGGTACATTCGCCCTACATGCTGATGCCAGGGCCAGCTGGCGACGCTCCCCATCGCTGGACATGGCATCATCGGAGGTTCAGGAGGAAGAAAGGCAATGTGCTGACCTAAGACATGGCGAGAAGTCCAGGTCAAAATGTGGATTCTGGTGACGCCAGAGTATTTGAAACAGAACTTACTACATCATTGGAGACCAAGTAGAAAATACGGTGCTATTTTGTTTGTTCGTTTTTTAATTATGAAACGACCGACTGCTGGCTTGGAATTTTATGGAGTCAAATGTATGTAATAGAAAAGAAAAAGGTTTTTAAAAATATCTATGTGTTAAGTTTCCATTACAGTAAGTTGGATAAAGAAACTGTAAGAAAGAAGAATGAATTTCTATACCTCTACTAATGAAGACAAGATTAAGAAAGCTAAAGTTTGGTTCTTTGATTGAGTAGAAAATTGATAATCCCAGTATAAGGTTGATCAAGAAAAAAAGGGAGAAACATAAATTGCAGTCAGGAAAGAATGCCTACTACCACGGAAAACGGAGGCATGAGGAAGAGGAAGAAAGCCCGCCCTGGTGGCGCAGCAGGTTGAAGCACAACACTAAGCAGCTAAAGCCACTTCAGCAGGAGTTCGATCCCCGGCCCCAGAGGTGACCCACATGGCACGGCAGACCTCTCCTGACACGCCCGCTGCTCCCCTCAGCAGTGCACTTCGTCAGTTGACCAGCTCTGCTCCCCACTCTGTCTCTGGTGAATCCTCTCGTTGTTCCTTCACCTCTGGCCTATACCCCAGTTCTATATGCATCAATCAATTTAATCTTTAATAAATCCTATTTTTTACGGAATTCTACTAGAGGAAAGTAATGCTTCTAAGATGATACAGGATTTCTGAAGCTACTTTTGCTTCATTCTAAATGAATGAATTGAATTGGCATTTCAATTTTGGAAAGCAGCAATTGACGACATAATCATCTTCTTGCAAACATGGAGATAGTCCTGTCCAAGGTGCCACTAACACGGCTGTCCTTTTTCTATGTAGCTGGCGCATTTAAAGGAGTTATGCACTAGAGGTCTGGTCTCGATGTGGTGGGTGGCAGAACCTACGTAGAGTGGGCAGTTTGGAGGGTTCTGCGGTGCCCCTCAACCTGCCCTGTAACAGGGGGCAGGCAGGTAGGGTAGGAAGAGGGCAAAGGTGGCTAGAACCACCTTTGGCTGGGAATACTTTCCGAGTTACTTAGACAGGGGCAAAGGGAGGCAGGAGATCATGCTAGTTCACCCCAGATCGCCACCAACATCCAACTCAGGAGAGGCCGATACCCAAGAGGGTCTCATGCAGCCTTCCTGACTCAGGGGAGGCAGAGAGAACATGCCCACAAAAATCAAGATGCCATTTCTTCTTCAAGAAAAAAATCAATTACCCACTGCAAGTAAATGTAATGCCTTTAGCCCGTAAAGTTTTGTTCAGTTCTTTCATGGATTCGTGTTTGCAAGAGTCCCTGGAAAAGAAAGAGGAAAGTGTGAAAATAACAAGATCTCACAAACATTTCTTAAATCTCTTAGTTTCCCCTAAACACTAAGCACGTCCTGCGCTAGTCTCTGGGTGAAGGGGTAAAGCAGCGGTCACTCCTGAGAGTCACAGGGCGGGGGGCGTTGAACATGGGGACTAAGCAGATGTCTACCAAGGAGTGAGACAGTGCTTGGGGTGGCTGAAGGTGCAGCACCCCCCACTGGGCCTGAGTCCATCTCTTCCCAGCA